CAGCAGTAATACCCACCTCTTTACAAGAACCCCCTTCCCACGTGAAATCGGTGGGAGTGGGAGAGAGCAGCTCATTCCCAAACACCACCACCATCACACTACGAACAAGACAGGAGCACAATGCTGATCTCCTTGTCGGTGTGCTACAACTCTTCTGACATGGCTTTATGCACATAAAATGTCATTAGAGGAAGACAGTGCTCTTTCCTTATGGTAATGCGTGAAGCTGAGAAGTCACATTGCTTCCTAATTCCGCACAAGATCTCTAAATTCAAATATTGCTTCTGAGCTGCTCTCCCTTTAGGCAGGATCAGTATAAATGAGGCAGGAAGGGCTGGTGAATCGAGGGAGGTGATTTTCTGCCTGCTACAGGAGAGCACGTGGCTCGGAAAGGTAAGGTGGTGGGTTTTCATGGCAGCGATGCCCTGCGGCACACCACTCTGCACATCACTGTGATGTCCCCCCAGTCCAGACCCGACCTACGGCCGGCAAAGCGGCCGGCGGAGGTGGTACACGGCCAGTGGGCAATGCAAGGGAGACGGTGAGTCAAGATGACGAGGAACAATACCGGTCCCAGTGCTATGGAGATAACAGGAGGGAGGGGGAAACAGGGCAAGGAGCTGCAACTGGGGAAGGAGGAGAAGGACAACGTGGAAGAGCAATAAGGTCTTCTGATGTTTTTGATTGTATTAATTAACTGTATTATCCAAGACCTACTGTTAACCTTGGAATTGCATCATATAATTAGACTAAAAGGCTGGTGTGTTACTACTTGACAGTTTGTCTCAGCTCTTCATTTCCAAGCTTCTACTGATGGCCATCAGATTTGTCCATTAAGTCGTGATTACTTTACTCTGGACACAGCCTCTTTGAAACCCTCTGTTGTGACTGACTCATAAGGGCCACCCATTTATCTGTGCTCAGGAACAACTCCAACCCGAACTGCATATTTACGTTTACAGGGTTGGCTCATACCAGCTAAACACATCCTGACTCAGTCCAGAAATATTTACCCTGTGGTCAAAAACCTCATTGACAATTACTGAAAGAAAAGTACTTCAGGGAAGAGAAAACACAAATTACAAAAGGAAGGGAGCACTCAGCATGACTATACTTTTAATTTTGTAATTTAAACTGTTTTACCACGCAGGATACCCTTTCTTAAAAAATATTTTAAAATAAGTTTTTTCTTATATATACAGCATACTTAGTCCCTTAACATGTTAATTAAAGGAACAGTAGTTTGAGACTTCCCATGAGCTAAGAAGCGACCATGCCCTTGGCCAATAAGCCACTCAGCTTGGCTATTTCCTATGAACCCCAGCACGAATCTTGGCGCTGCTCATCACACGATATGTCTATTAATTTCTAAACAGAAACCCCATTCATTTTTCCTTTTGAGCAACTCAGTAAAGTAACTCATATCTCTGATTTGAAGTTTTGAAAAGTTTTGAAAACCTTTTTACAAATTGCATGGGAAAAGAGCAACCACTGTTAGGGAAACTTGGGTCGGAAGGCACTCTGGAAGCCTCTGGTCCAAGCTACATGTTCAGACCGGCACTAACATCAGAGTCAGACCAGCGTTGCCTTCTCTTGTCCAAATCTGAAAGCCTCAGCTTCTCCTTGTGCACCAGATGCACCAGCCCCAAGACCAGCTCAGTGGCCTCCTTCGGACTCACTCCTTTCATTAGTCTAAACTCAAGTGTGGTGTCAACATCTAGACAAAGTTAACCGAACGCAAGCCCTGGGCGTGCTGCCCTGCAGTCTATAACCTCTCACGAGTTTCTCTTGCAAAAATGCTACCATGGCATGGGCTTGGCATAGCTTTTGCAGGGCAAACACAGGTGCCTCAGCTTCACCTTTGATCATCCTGGCGAAACCAGGAGGGTTTCATGCCTCCCTGCGAACCTCTTCCATAATTCAGAATGCAAGCGAAGGCTTGCCCAAGCACCTGTGGGCAGCGCTGCCAGCCGCAGGTGGTCTGCAAACAGGCGGATCGTGCTGGGCCGTTAGGAAGGCTGGGATACTCTCCACCAGTAAAAACTGGGGAAAAAATCTGTGATTTAGACCCTTCAAAAAATTATTGCAGACAAAATAGTATTTCAAAGGGTTCCAGGCTGCCACACGGAATGATTTAGAAGAAATCACACACAGATGCCGTTTGCTGCGGGCTAGCGCAGAAGAGCCGGGAGATACAGAGAGGTCCCTGGTCCCCGGGACCCCACCGGGAGGGAAGGCAGGGCCCTCGCCGCGCTGCAGCCGCCGTTTGTGTTTCCAGCTGTTTGAAGCTGCAGTGGGGCTCGTGCTTCAACTCAGCTCTGTCAGCATCACCTGCTCATCTGTGGAGGGGGGAACCTCTGCAGATTCATCTTGGTCGCCTGAGACAATTTATCTTCCAGGGTTTCTGTGACCTGACTTCCACCCGGCAGCGCGCAGCCAACGCTCGGCGACCCGCCA